TATTTTACATCCCAGAGTAGAAGGACAAGTAAAAACTAAACACTTGATCCTGTGTAACTCTGTGATTACTTGAAGGTGCCGATTGTCCTGCCAGTAATAGTGGTGCTGGTGTCCTGTTACCTAGTCCTGGCCCCCATCGTTGATAAGCCAGAACTGGAATACCTCTACTGTGCCATCTTCATCTTCAGCGGATTTCTCCTCTACTACCCTTTCGTCCATGTGAAGGTCAAATGGGCTCGCAGACTCATGAGTGAGCTTACTTTGTTTTTTTACTGAAATTCTAAGTTTACAAATCTATAAATATTTCTATGGGCTCATAATCATTAGAAAAACATTTAATCACAAAATTTTTTCTCAAAAGGTAGAAAACAGATGGATGAAATGCAGTGTCACGTTGTGCTGACCCCATGGGGAATTGACTTGAGCAGTGCTGATATGACCTTTGACCTCTACTCCCCTGCAGGGCCTATTACTATGCACCTGCAGCTGCTGATGGAGGTTGTTCCTCCTGAGAAAACTGAATGAGAAACGGACACGAGTGAGAACCAGGTCAATTTCTGTTGCTTGTTGTGAAATGCTGGGTCTGGTTTTGGAAATAATGGGCTGGAGATTTGGCTTCTGGAACTGGAGCTGGGCCACAGTCAAAAATCAGAGCTAGCTCCCGCTGAATATCTGTGTGGCAAAAGTAAAAGCACATACTGTTTTCATGACCTTGTTAACCAGGTTACTTCTGTAGATATTTTCAACAACACAGCCAGACAGACCATATCCAGGTGATGTCTCTCTCCACACGAAGAAGTAGCCTCCATTTAATCTCATCGAATGCGACTGAATGTTTGGTAGAATTTTACTTTCACTGCACTTATAGCTAAGCTGTCAAGTTAAACTATTTCCTCATGTAGTCAATGACAACAGTGCCAAAGATTTAGATACGCGCAAATCAGCACTCGAGCAAAGGGAAAGGGTCAAAATGCATTAAGGAAAATACACAAATGTTGGGCAGGAGATCATAAGCAATAGCAATCATAAGATGTTTACTCCATGATGTTTGTATATTATTTAATGATGCTCTCTCTCCTTTCACACTGGAATATATTGGAACAGTACTGCATTGTGTAACCTGGTGTTTAATAAAGGTATTAATCTTTGTGAGCATGAAGTGGACCCAACAAATAAAGAATTTGTGATTCTACAAAATATTGTAGACTGCTGATTTATCATAATTGTAAATAATGTCTCACGTGTTACTCATAAGAACACAGCCAATTGGATGTGTTGGTTACAAGGTTTTTTTTTAGGTGCATGAGCTCAGCATGGCCACTGAAAATCTCTTTCAAAAACACAGGAATGAAAATTGGGGTAACACTTTAAACAGGGACAATAAAGGTACACAGCCAGTGAATGAAATTTTGGTTCAGCACTCTCAGAGATTTGATTTGGTCTTTGTTGCCCTCTAGTGGCACTTAACGCTATATACCAGAGTCAATCAATGATTTCCCATGTGCAATCCCTGCTGTAAAAGATTTTCTCCAGTAGTGCCAGTAAATTTGCATTGGCTTCGCTGAGCAAGAGGATTTTCAGAAAAACAAATTACGCCTGGAACTGTCTGGAGAAGCAGCATGTGTGGTTGTGCCGTCCGTCGTGCTTGGCTCTGGGGTAAAGAAAGCTGTCGTCTTGCGCAATCGACACAGGCCCCACATTAAGGCTGAATAAATGTTGACAAAATACAGAACTCTCCTGGAATTCATCAGCTCAAAGTTAGATTCATGATTCATTGCTTTTACACAAATACCCAGGGTTTATCCTCTCCCCCTAAATGTGGGACTCATTTTGAAATTTTGCAGTTACATCCTGTTTCATCATTATTTAATGGGCATTGAGTCTCAGGATGAAAGAAAAAAAACATTTATCATCTTAAGAAATTTAAGTTTAAAAAAATGTCTCTATAAGGTGTTGCTGCGTCTGAGATGATGCAAGACAATTCTCCATTGAACGGCAGTGGAGTTTGAGGTTTGATAGTATTACAGAATGAGTCAACTTGTTTGTAGTAGGTGGGGCATGCTTTATTCTAAAGGGTGAATATATATCTCTGTTCAGTAAAATGAATATCAGCTTGCTAAATATCACGTTTAATCCTGTCAAACAAAAAGCACATGCTTCTTCCTTGACATTTTCTATTTTTATTGATTATTGGTGAAATAATAAGTCAAAACATTTAAATTTGAACCAATACAACAATGCACAAATATCCAATACATTAATTAAGTCCTGCATTTATAATCCTGAGTGAAAGAATAGAAGTGAGATCAGGAAAATGTGCTCAAAGTTTCAAAAGTGAAAGCACTGCTTCTGCAGTATTATGTGTCCTACAGCTGAAATATGATCATTTTGGAATAGTTAGTTAACACGAATGCAATGTCTAAGTTAGTTGATGTGGAGCTAGTTTATCTACCTTATACAAAGTTGATTATTTTAATGTGGTAAAATGGTTCCCAAGCTGGAGGTTGTAACCATCCCAATGGCCACTTGATAAATTCGGTCATCAGTCATGTGATGATTGATTGGAAAATAGAGGAAAACATAAAATCTTTCTCACTTTACTTATTTAGTTATTTGTTTTTTGTGAGATTTTTGGTATTTGGCCTCTTCTCACCATCTGAGAAGTTTAGAGGGGAACTTCTCAGATGTAACGTCAACAATGAGTTGTATTTCATAATTTTCAAAGCAACTTGATTCATCTGTGAAATATAAATATTTAGTGGGGTCAAATGCATAATATTCCTCTCTCAGCTGTGAGGTAATAGCTCATATATAACTATAAATAATAACTCATTCCTGACTTTTCACATGGCTATAAACATAACTTTGTCTCTAAACTTTCCTAAGAGTAGAGGAACTGGTCATGTAAGCTGTAAGTGCACATGCTTCATCTGATAATTATTGCACGTCTTAATCAAACTTTGCAATAAAGAGCAGTGGTAGATTGATTTAATGTTCCCATGACAGTGAATGTGCACTCTAGCATACACACATTCTGTATATATGCTAGTAGCCTTTCTTACAAGGACACACACACACACACACACACACACACACACACACACACACACACACACACACACACACAGTACACTGAAATATCATCTCATTAATGGATAGCTCTGATGAGAACTCATCTGCATATCATTTCAATCACATTACTGTGCTTTTCCAATCAGTTACTGAATTAGCATTTGGTTTAGAACCTTGCAATCATTCAGCGACCTTTCCAAAAACTGTATTATAATGTGTTGCTAATGAACATATGCTACAAGCGAAGTCTGTGTTTCATCTGATTGGTTTTAGATGATCAAAAATAGTATTTCAAGACTCCAGGGGGAGAAACGTATTTGGTCTCAGTGTGAATTCGGTTCACTATGAATTGTTCCTGAATTAAAGTTTAACATAATATTTGTGCCAATTCTATTTTATATGAGACTTAATGGGAAGAAGTACCTTCAAGAAGTGTATTTTCAAAGTGGTTGTTGAAAAGCCACTCAAAGTCAGAGGTAAAAATAATATTTTCCAAATACAGGTGGGAGAAGTAGTATCACTTTAACATCCAGCAGAGGAGTCTGTTTTGTCAACATGACCTGTTTTCCTCCATTGGAGGGCACACTTGAATAAGCAGTGGCGGTGAAGTGAGCCACAGCCGTTTCACATGCACTGTGTCTGTGATCCCTTTACAGTAGAGGATCCACATCCATATCCCTCACACAGATTTAGGGCTCACTCCCACCTGGCACTGCTCCCAGGAATGTCCTGGCATTGGCTATAGTGTGCAGAACATTAGAAAAAAAAAAAGCTTTTCATTTGAATTATAATGATTTTATTGTTTTTTGACTGCTCTCTCTCAAATGTCTTATTAATAATGTTTGACGGCCTTTTGTTTGCCGACATGAATGAGTTTGTTTTAAATATTCCTGACATGAATGCTGCGTCTTGCAAATTAGGAGCCAGCATCAGTGCAGTAATGATTGGGGGGTGGAGCTACGGTAGCAAGATCTTATCGATACATGCTCTCAACCAATCGTGTTTTAGTCTCAGCTGTCAATCATTACGTGTGTCACCACATATTATAGTATCGAATAATTATTCAAAACCAAACTTATTAGAAACATGAGCCCTTGCACATGCATCAGTGTGATAAGAACTAAATGAAATAAATCATGAATGAGACCCAATTTTTTAAGATCATTTCTACCTCTTAGCTTATCCATGCCCCACCCACTTACATAGAGGATGCAGGTTTTACAAATTATACTGCAGCCAGCCACCAGGCGGCAATCCAGATGATTTGGCTTCACTTTTGACAGACAGACACCATCTTTAAGAAAAATTTACTGGACGTGTACTTTGACTTGTCCCATTCTCTAACATGGAGGAGATGGGGTTTATGACTTATACTGCAGCCAGTCATCCGGTTGCGATCAACATTATTTGGAGCTCACATGCCGTCCATCTTTTAGTCTATGGTTCTTCTTCTTCACAGTACGGGAACTTAGACAACAATGAAAACTTGGTGAACTACTAGTAGAAAGTGTTTTCTAATTTGCTTTAGCTTTACTTCTACTTTAGGATACATCAATTATGACATATTGTACTTTGAAATACAGTAAATGCTGGTAAAATATGACATTTAATTTGAAATACCTTTTCTACGATTGTACACTCAAAGATTCTCTTAAATCTCAACCCTCTGGTATCTTGAGCTACCGTATCTCTCACACACACACAAGACAAACCTGCTCTCCAATCTTCGGTGTGCATTTTGCTTAGTTTGCCAGGTGTGGAGGAGCTGAGCCCAGGCTGGTGGATACTGCTGCTGATGAAGTGTTAAAGACATGAGGTGACCTCTGTTTTTGCTGCCAAGCTTAAGGGGATTTTCCAATTAGAATGACTCTTACAGTGACTCATCACTTAACTGGGGAGACACTTCAGTACCCTGAATTTCTTGGTGACTTTTTTTGTTTTGTTTTTTCTGCCGTCCTTTCTCTTTCTTCTTTTGGATGTATGCTCATCTCTCTTTCTGTTTTATCCATCTCTTCCCTGTCCTCCCCTTGTAAACCTGTTCTCTGCCTATCTCACTTTCAGTTTCAAAGATCTTTATAGTCATAATACTCAGACACGAAACACTACTCCTTCAAGCTGGAGTAGAACCAGCAACCTAAAGATGTCAGGATACCTATTATAGTCCTATGCTCTGCCAACTGAGCAATCGAAGGGATCTCTCACTCATATGCTCCCTCTCCTTTGATTCTCTTACAGACTCTTACTTGGTCTTTGTCCTGCCAGGATTTCCTTTGTATTTCGTTTGATCTCTATCCTTCTCCCCTCGCTTGCCCTGTTATAGGCTCCTCACTAACTTTAATTGAGCAGCTTAAAGATCAGTGGCACTCACATGTGAAACCAGTCCATCTTACTTTATATACACTGTGTGTGTGAGTGTGTGTGTGAGAGAGTGTGTTAAGTTGTGGTATTTGTGTGTTTCTGCTCCTATATATACCTAATTTGCATGCACACATATGCACAGCTCTGTTTGTGTGTGAAAATGTCAGAGATCAAGAGTGGAATTCAGCATATAAAAAAGTGCAGCTTGCTAATTGTGTTGCTGTGCATGCTCTGCTCTTGCACCCGCTGTAGTTTCTGGCTGTTTAAAGGCTCTTTGATCAGCAGATAGTGAGATGGTAGGGAGGCTGGTTTCGCTGGCTGGACTGCTGATGTGTGTCTGTGCATATGAAAAATCAGAAATGATGATGTAGAGACAGAGAAAGAGGTAGGTAAATAAAAAAAACTTTGCAAGGGAATGTTTCGTTTGGGAGGGGGGCATTTTGCCCTAAATGAAGCAGTGCAAATTGCTTTCACCGGCTGCCTGGCAGGGTCCTTTCTGATGTTTATCCTGCCTGTGTGTACTTCTGAACATTGCCTACAGCCACTGCTGCTTCACTCAGATATGATCTCTCAGCTTCTTGTCAAATATGATTTTCCTCACCTGTCATTGAGGATTTGTGAAGCAGAAAAGGCCACTGATAAAAAAAAAGCATTTGGACTTAGCATCATCTCATTGGATTCAATAAACACAGAAAATAGGATACATAAACTGCATTGTCAAGTATTTTG